CTATATATATAATACTGAACTGTAAAAATATGTAAAGCAGACAGCAGAGCATGCAAAGACAAAACAATTGTAGCATTTGACAGTTCTTATACCAATACTGGTGACGCTGCATTTCAGGAAACCCCAGGAACAGATGGCAAAATAAGAGTCCCTTTATATTAGGAGACATTACATTCCTCTTCTGCACAGGATGTGTTTGGAACAAACTGGAAATAAACGCATGTGAAATATGTTTTTTATCCCCCTTGAGGCAGATTTTTCTTGTGCATACTAAACTTCCTGCAGAGAATCATGCTACACAGAACCTGTGTTTAGGTGCAATATAAATGGGATGGGGAAAATGAACAGCACACATACACTTTGAATTCCAAAGCTGGTCATACATATTATAATCTAATTATACAATTTAAATTTATCAACAACTAGTTGCTGGCAGATCTAGAAAAGAATGCAAGATTGAAATGAACATGTAAGGCCAGTTTAAGGTACTCGGCCTTTACAGGCAAACACCAACTGTAAGTCATATGGACAAATTATGGACCTACAAGTCGTTTCTCCGGCAGTATTCTTGAATTATACACAGCTGAAGAAGAAGAAATCACACGATCTGATGAACACCTAGAACTGTATATATTCACTGGCATGAGTTTCATTGTGGCTGCCTACAAATGGTATCTAAATATGAACAGTGAATATGGTTTTCTAAAGCAATTGACAGTGCTTATATCTGTATTTATAGATGGTTCAAAAGTTGTCCACCTGCAGTAAATGTTATATGAGTGACCTGTTTCTGAAAAAAGTTATTTTGATATTAAAGCCCTAAAGAAAAAAAAAAAACTTGTATTAACCCTTGCAGTGGGGTTATCACACTGCTTGTTTTTGTCTAGGTGCTACAACTAAAATATTACACTTACCCCATCCTCACAGCCAGCCGGCTATTAGACCAGTCCTTCAGCCTCGGCCCCCCTCCACTAGAGTGGCCTAAGGGTCTTTGAGTCATCATGTCCCATACACTGTGTATTAGACATGTGGACACTGAGGGCCATTCCATTTCTGTAACATATGCTTTGACCACAGGAATGAAATATTGCCATTATACAGAATGCGTTACCCATATGTTTGTGACTACTATATTTAATATGCGTTGATCCATGCTCTCTGTATACTTTAAGCAGCAGGTGTCAACCGCACAGATTGAGGCATATACCTCTGCCCAAGAACACTCCACAGGGCCTTGCAATCCAGCTTCCCAGATGATCAATAGTAAATACAAGGTTCTTTAATTGTCTTTTTTTTTCTTCTTAATAAAATCAATGGTTTTTCCTCTTGTAGCCTTAGGAAAAGAACAGTCGAGGGAGTATGTAATGATGTAAGAACTCCATCTGCAGGGGAAATGGGGCACTGCATTGCTAGGAAAACCAGAGCAGAGGCGTATTTCAATCAATTATTGTCCCGACGCATCAAGCTCTGAACAAAAAATTCAATGAAATAAAACCATGCATCCCATTTTAATGTTTCCCTTTGTCATATAGGTTGATGTAGTTACAGCCATTATAAACAATACCAAAAAATAAAGCTGCTTCTAATGAAACACAACTGACTAGTAGCTGCATTCTTTCCACAATGGAATATACAGCAATAGCCCATCCCGCGCGGATTCTGCGGCTGGCTGCCCCCAAATTCAATATGAAATTACAGACACTCTGAAATCAGTATGTTTAAAATGTGTAAGAAAATATCTGATGGTCATTGGCTGGGCTGAGAGACTACGGAATCCAATTCTGTTCTCTGAAAACATAAACCTGAAGAGCATATGTACTCATCTAGAGAATATATTGAAAACAATCATTTAAGGAAAGGGTGTATATTTACAAAACAGTCCCTTATGACGTACCCTGCAAATTAGACCCTCTCTGGGCACAGGGGGGCTTTGTGCTGGATCTACAGGAGTGGTGGAAACAAATTCAGGTATAGCTATTCCTTGATAGGCAGTCTGATGTAAGAGTTGTTTTGTGCAAATCTGATTAAAAAAGTTTTACTAGCTGTGTGGCCCCATAATACAAACCAGTACAAGTGTGATCACATACGATGCACCACGTGACGGGACCACAACACGTTTCTCACACTTGACAAAGACTGTGCTCAGACACTGCATATTGCAATTTTCTTGTCACAAAGAAAGAAACTAGAGGAGCATGGCTTTCAAGGGCAATTTCAGTATTTTCCATTCATCTTTGAAGTTTAAATGGATGAAAGGTATGGGTGGCCATAAACAAGCAGATATCTCACCAAACGATGGATAGTAGGATTACCTACCCTCTCCTCAAGCCAGACATTGGAGAAATGCACGCACCCGATGCTCAGAGTGACATATCAGGCCAACTTGCAGGGAGTTTTTCAATATTCAAAGCCCCAGACCGCTACTGGATACATTCTCCTCATTCAGTAGAACAGAAACAGTCAAATTATCACAAGCAATGACTGCAATATGGAGCCCACCATGCCCTTTGCTTTACATTGAGAACCGGTCTGGACTTGCCACTATTTTAGCTTTAAGACCTGTGTCACTGGGCTATCAAGTGCATTTCGCTTGTATTCAGTCTCATTTCAGATGCTTCTCACATTATTTAGAGTTCATTGAGAGGTGCATTTGACCTGCAGTTGACCTCCCGAACTGCATTTGACTATGCTGCATCCACCTGCTTGATTATAAGAGGAAAGATGTTCCAATTCAAACAAAAGCCTGTCAACACAGATCCTCATTTAGTCTGTGTCTGCTTCTTCAGCTTGAGCGTTAGGGCTTAAAGGTCATCTGAAGTGTTATAGCTGCTGCCCTGTTAACTCCCTAAGCTCATAGTGGGTCCAAAAATCTGAATGTGCAGTGTGTAAGGTCAGAATGTTAACTGGACAGCAATTTTTAGACTCTCTCCCCCACTCCAACCTCCACCAACTGAAGCTGAAGTGAAGAGGAGTCAGGCACAAAGTTAATACGGGTGAATAAGGGGGGCCTACATTTTACCCATGCTAAGCAAAGTATCAGGTTTGTTGCATAGGAGGCACCATAAGGAGGCAGTACTTGCACTGCCCCTGGGCTCCCACACCACCCCAATCCACAACCAAAGTCGTGAGATATACTCAGTACTTCCAAGTGTGGGAAAACTCAAACATTCCCCGTGACCTTCCATAATGCTGCACTCTTTGCCCGAGTGGCCAATTGCCAGGCCCAAGCAATGTCATGCGGGGCAGTGCAAAAATTCTGCTACTGCTAGGGAGATTGACTCAACTTCACCCTGAAGCTATTGCAAGTTTCTATGGTTTGCCTTCCTTATCAGCAATCTTCCTTAATGATATGAATTGCACATAGATCTTCAGATATAAGAGCTTCTTTATGTAGTTAAAATCATAGAAACTGCATGTTTATGTGTGTAGCTGATGCACATTAATCCTGCAGTTTGTAGGATTTAAACAAAATGAAGAACCTCTTATATCTGGAGATCTGTGTGCAATTTGTATCATTCTGGAAAGCTGTCACGTGGGGGTGCAGAAGCCTGCAATGCCCTTGATTTTAAGAAAATCAAAACTTCTACAGTAACTTTCAGGTGGTCTGTGGCGAGACCGAAGCAGCCGGAGCGTGCCATTATGTAGCAAACCTGTTACTTTATCTAGTATTTAACACTAAATGCATAATGTGGCTCTTTTAGCAATGCAACCGAAGCTGCACTCCAAAAGTGATGGAAATGCCAGAAGCAAAGAGTTTTTCTGGCATTTCATAGACAGCTTCACACAAGTAAATGGAATTGAATTCCTGGCAGTTACAAATGCATTGAACGCTGCAGTTTAGAACAATAACATCTAAAAAAGCGTTACAAAAATTTAATAATTTCAGCTTTGATTGCACAGGCAGTCACCCATTTATCTGTAGAAAACCAAAAATATATACAAAGACTCACTTCAGAAATTCATATATTTTACTTACAAATATCTGTACGCTCAAAAATTTAACATAAACTTTAGGGGCACTTATTGTCCTGCACTTTATGTGCATGTATATATATTTATATATATTTATATTTATACATTTTTATTAAATAACATTTTACAAACTTTATAGAAGTTTTTTTTTTTGTACAGCAAATCCATTGCCCTAGGAAATTGCTGGTGGGGAAGAATATGGAAAAAAAAAGTTTTGTTGCATGTTAAGTCTTAGGAGGTGTGCAAGCAGAGGAAGGAAAAACTCAGAGGTTGAGGTATTTAGCCACGCACACAAAAGATTGTAGCAACAGCGTTAAAAATCCAAATAGCTCAGAAAAATCCCCAAAAATGTGAAAACAAAAGAAATGAATACTAATAATCCATCGGGGGCTGGAAGGGTTATATAGAAAGTAGTCCATTCTGTAGCAGCTGCTGAGATTCGCATCAGAAGCTGCGAGAAGACGTCCAAGGTGACTGTGTGCACTAGGGAACGAGACTAGTTTGTTTGTTCATCCGTAGGCGATGTGAAAAGGAGGTGGTGTAGGAAAAAAGTGGTGTATGGAAGGCCGACTTTTTTTTCCCCCAAGATCATGCAAAGTATTGCTGTAGTGCGGTTTTTGCCCTAGAGAAAGCACAAAGGAGATCAATTTTCTATGAATGAACACAACATTTTTTTAACAAACATTTATATACATTTAGAACCATTTGTTTTGTTATGTCTGGATATTATCTTTACTTGTGAATAAGCTTTTATCATAGGAGCAAGGATTTGGGATAATCAACACTTTTACATGGCAGGTCTGTGTAACCTGCAGGGAACGAAACAGTTAGACACCCCGGTCTAAGGCTGGGTTCACACCTGGGCGTACGGAATATGCGCGTTTTTTACCGCAATGTGCGGTAAAAGAAACGCGCGACAAACACGCATTTACGAGGGCTATCCGGCTGTATCCTAATGGATACGCGCGGAAAATACGCCCCAAAGAAGCTCCTGTACTTCTTTGGGTGTAGGGCGTTCTACGCCCAGGTGGGAACCATGCCCATAGGCAAATTGGTTTTCGCATGCTGAGCATTTTACAGCGCGTCAATCAGCGCTGTAAAACGCCCAGGTGTGAACCAGGCCTTATAACGCAAGGAGCTGCACAACGGCCACGACACACCAACAACCCCCCCGCCCTAACCAATCAGTCTTCTGCCATGTAAAAATGGCATTTACTCATATATCTAAGATTTGCAACACTTTTTAATCTGTTAAATGTGAACCTTTACTTTCTTAAAGTCAATTTCCACCTCTGCAGAGGTATTTCTAAAAAACATATGACAGTAATGAACACCGAGTGTACATAAAGCAGGCATATGCAGTTGCTGTATATGAAAACAGAAGCTTACATTATTTGTTAGCTTTCCTCTTCATATCCACATGCAAATGTCTGCCTCTGTGCTGTGCGAGCAATGTGAACCCCCCTCCCTTCCCTGGACAGTGCATTGTGTGTAAAGGCATAGCTAGTGTTTACTGATCATGTTACAATGGGTGACAGGGAGGGGGTGCAGCTGTTTACAGCCTAATTACTATCCAACCCTGGTGTCTGACTGAACTTCCTGTGGAGAAAATTTAGAATTTTTAGGCTTCAGGCCTAATAAAACTTTCATAAAAAAATTAAGAAAGCCTGCAATGTGAGTCATGAAAATGTGCACACATGTATATTATCACTGCACCTCTACATTACCGCAATAAATGCTAATCACTTACAAATGTGGAAATGGACTTTAAAGCATTTGTAGTAGCACAGATGTGTGCCCAGTGTCTTTAGAGACGCTACTATACCTAGGGATCTTTTGTCAAGTAATGCGAGGGTTGGCCTGCCTCTTCACCTCTCGCAAATCCCTATTGTTTGTACAAGTAAGCTTCGGTGTTCAAGAGGGTTTGGGTATTTGCGTATTAGCAGATTTGGGTTTAGGGGTACCCGTGGTACTGAATGTACTGGGCAACGATATTTGAAGGCAGATACATACATTGAGGGGAATTTATTAAACTTGGAGCAGACAGAATCTGAAGCAGTTATCCATGACAAACCATTAGCTTCTACCTTTCATTTTCATCAACTTAAGCTTAACTGAACAAACTAAAAAAAGAGAATCTGATTGGTTACTATGTGCAAGTGCTCCAGATTCTGTCTGCTCCAGTTCTCAAATTCCCCCAATGTATTTAGGCTGCAGTTTTACATTGTTTTAGAAAATAAATGCTTCACTTTAACTCTGCTTTCCCTTAATCAAATGCAATGAATGCTGTGTGTGGGACTGACACTGATTTTCCAGGGGCTCCGGTATATATACATCCAATGAATGTGTCAACATATTATATAAAAGCCAACTGCGCTCTTACTTGTCACAGAGATTTGGATCTGTCGATTGACTCAGTTTGTGCAGAATGTCAACAATCCCAATTTCTCGCAGCTTATCCTGACGCTCTTGTGAACCTGTGGAGGGAAGGCACTACATTGGCAAATTTGGAAGGAAGCGCGTAAGCGGTTATAGAATATTTTTCTAATCCTCTGACTTCCCCTATAGATATCAGAGACATTATATATATATATACACACATATATATATATATATAAATAATACTAGCTGCAATGAAAACAAGGGAGGGAAAAATGGCTTAACAGTAATAGCACATAAAATATTGAAACTGAAATTGCGTAAATATTCACTTTCATTATCCAATCATGTAATCAGTAAATTCCAGTTTACTTATTTCATCTGCACATGACCGGCCACCAGAAGTGAATATTCATACAATTTATTGTGTGATATACTCAATTCCCTTAGTACATCAGCCCAGCTCTGTCTGTAATCTTAGCATGAACAGTCTCTGGTCATGCAGGCACATACAAATCTGATCCTTAGAATAATAATAAGCTCCATCTAAAAACAGATCTACTTTTCTTTAATAGGGTGATATTCAGTTGCCCATTTGAGGTGTAAAGGTTAGGGTTTCCCCACCAGGGCCACTAAGAGTGACCTGAATGGACTGACCTATTTAGTTTGACACTAGATGGTGACTGGGTCCAGCATGGACAATCCACTAATGTAAAGGTGGCCATACACTGTACAACCATCGCAAGACCTTAGTTTTGCGATGGTTGTAAAGTGATTAAAAAAACGTATGATCTGCCCATCTTGGACAGGCAGATCGTACTCTCGATCATCGCAAGCCTGCCCCCCTGAGGGGCGGGCTTCCGATGACTGCAATGCTGAACGGGAAGTGTGCGCGTGCGCACACCGGCCCGTTCGGCATTTGTCTCCCGAGCACCGTTCAAACCAGCCGAAAATCGTACGATTTTCTAGCGTGCTCCTTAGACAAAAGACGTGCGACCGTAAAGTAGAAACGGTCGCACATCTTCGTTCACACTGCTCGATTCTCGTACGATCGCGGGATTTCCCGCGATTCTTGTACGAGAATCGAGCAGTGTATGGGCACCTTTACAAACATGCAGACTTGCAGCAATCCTGAAAGACTGGCAACCAAAATTAATCAGCTGGGGGTGTCAGCACAGTTTGCCTGATCAGGCAATGAACTGGCATTTTAAGAGGGCAGTGATCTCTTACCTTCCTCTTCATTCCACGTCAGATTTGCTATGCAGAACATTGCAGCCAGCTGGAGTTTCAGGTTGGAATGACCCTGTGATACAAAAGGCAGAATACAATGGCATCAGTTGTGTGTTCAGATTTCATTCATTGGCCATAACATTGACAGCATAGCAGTGACAAATGAACAGGTACCTAAAATGTAAAACCTTAGTGATAAACAATAGATTGTGCTTATATTGCACACTGCACATATACAGTATGAAGCACTAATGGAATATCCATATACATATATGAAGACTGCAAGCCAGAGAAAGGAACCAGAAGTTCACAGGAAAGCAGGTCCTGCTAAAGTGGACCAGAAGACAGTAAAAACACAGGAGGGAAAAAAAAATCCTGACTAAGGATACCCAAATCAATGGTTTTCATTAGTGTTCCATTACAAAGGAAGGCTGCCATAAGAGACATAGGGGGGCTCCCACTGCTGCTCTTCTGAACAATGCTAGTTTTTACTGAATATTGTGTTGACACTCTGGTTAAATACTTTTCTAAGTTACAGACCTGGAGCAAGCAAAGATCAGCAGTTCTGAATTCACTTGCTGCATACTTGTTTTAAGTCAGTGCCTCAAAGTATTGAACCTGGGAACAAGCAGGCATTTTAACAAGGAGGCTAGCACTAGCAGTCCATGTGACTGTCATTAAGCTGAATCTGTGTAAAAACCCCCCATCAAACTCTAAAGCTAACCATATGTTTAAAAGGGCATTACCTGAGGTTACCTTAAGGGCTAATTCACACCAGCCCCAGGGCGTTCCGGCCCGACTGGTGCCGGAACGCACTGGATCGCATTCTGGCCAGCTCACGCATGGCACATAAGTGTTTTGGTCCAGTCAGAAAAAATGCTGCATGCACTATTTTTTCTGACTGCACCGGACTAATGTGCCTGCGTTCCGGGTGCGGGCGATCGCACTGTGGGCGGGGGGCATGGCTGCGGTGCCATTGACTTCAATACAACCCCACACCCCCCTCCCGCAGGGAGGCGGCCGGCTTACATTCCAGTGCGTTCTAGACCCCGGAGTCCTGTCCTCCTGCGGTGCTCGTGTGGCCGATGTTGCACATGGAAAGGGGCGGGACACCTCTCCCTAGCAGTGGCGTCTGCCGCATTCAGCGGACAGCACGAGCACCGCGGGTGCATAGCCAGCTCCTTTTGCGCCCGAGGCAAGAAAGGAAACAGTGTCGCCGCTCCCCCCCTAACAGGCGTGTGATGTCACCTACTGCCC